AACCGATTAGTTCAATCACCTTTCTCCAATAATATTAATTTTGCGTTAATTTTTAAGCGCGTTAAAATTAAATTTCAAGTAATTGTAATATTGTTGAAGATCGTAAATTGTAATTGCCTGCGTTGTACAATTTATATGAACACATAACGGTGGTTGCAGTGTAAGATTTTGTCGATGATTCGAATTGCTTCCTATACATTAAGGCTAGAAATCTGTTATTAGAATTTTATAATTTTTCTCAATGTATTCCAATAGGTCTGTTTTACCGGCTTATGTTTCATAGTCGATAACTAAGTCTTTACTCTCCCGTCATAGTATTATAATTTAAATATGACTCTAAAGCGACTAGATTCATTATTAATGTATAAATATATTTATAGATTTCTGTCTTTAGTGTATTTATTACAAGGAAAGTAAATTTTAATAAACGAATAAGGTAAGGTTAGAGATCCGAGAATAAATTATATAGCTTTGAATTTACTGAATAATTAGCAATTGAGAATTTAACGTTTATAATCTATTGATGAAACCTTATGTTTCACGAAAGCATTATTATTTAAAGATAATTAAATTTATTTATTCCGGGACATCCACCTTAAATATTATAATCTTAAATTACTAGATTATATTTGGTCATGCAATTTAATAATTGAGGATATATCTCTATTGACAACTAATTGATTATTTTATTTTTCAGAAATTTTACGGGACGTTACACTCACGAGATTCCAAATGTTCTTGGGAGTCAAATCATTCGCCGGACGGAACGATATTCCAGTGGGGCCGTGAAAAAGAGCCGGAGAGTCGAAAGACAATCCAACATAATCTCCCGGTACGCATGAAAATATCGCGTAAGAGTGAATTTCGCGAAACGCGTTTTCCAATTGTGTGTAAACCTCCCCTCCTCCCTCGGGAAACGGAAGTATACGGAATCTAGCTTCTCTACCCTCTATCCCGAAATTTCTAAACCTACGCGTGTTTTCCGATACTAATTCTATATAATTAAAATTATCGCCGACCTGATTATTATTCCGACGCCTTTCCGCCGCCGATGCTGCATCGATATCCTCCGCTCGCCTCGTTTTCTTCTCCGTTCTTTCCTCTTCCTGCGGTGCTCTTTCGAAGTCGTCGGTTTCGCCAGTCGATTCCACGCCCGACCGAGTTTCCTCCGGCTCTTCTTCTCTACCACCACCTGTTTGAACTGCAAAAGTCAAAATTAAAAAATTAGCGAAGTAATTAAAAAATTTGATAAAATATTATATTTTATATCTTCATGCTCGAATTTTATTTGCAATAAAAATCGAAAAATTTGTAGTGTTAAATCAGCTCACCTCTAGATTTTCTTCTTTTTATTTTACACTTTCGTTTGATAATTGTAATCGGGAGAGTAAGAAATCACAGGGGGTCTGTATCCTGTGAAAATTTTAATGTTTAATTTTAATGTTTAAAAATAAAATTTGAGCATAAAAGCAACTGTAAAATTTTCAATCTTCTTACCTCTGTCACCCATTCCCCATCCGTCGTGGCTTTCTTCATCCCCTCCTTTATAATTCCTCTCCTCGGCCTGTAATTTCTCTTCCTGCTCTTCCTCCTCCTGCTCTTCCTCCTCCTGCTCTTCTTCTTCTTCTTCGTCTTCCTGCTCTTGCTCTTTCTCCTGCTCTTCCACTTTGTCGTCAGCCCCGGGTAATATTACACTCTGTTGACGGTCGTTATCTAAAAATTTACGTTATTAATTTTTCAAATTTTTTAGTTATTTTATGCTTCTGCTAAGATAACTTTTCTTATTACTTACTGTACAAAGGACTGAATATTTCCTTCTCATCGAACGAACTCACTTCGCGAGGAGGCAGCTGACTCGTCGATTCGTTGCTCACAAGATCGACAAGCTCCGGCGTAAGAATAATTCGCGCGCGAGCTAAAACATTAAATTTTTTGAAAAATTTCCTAATATTAAATCGATGCTGTTATTTTATTTCATATAAATAACGTATACAAGGACTTACACGAAGGTCCAACCTCAGGCGAGGTATCGGCTCGGCGTCTTATCCCGCGGCGTTGAGTAGCTCGCTTTTCGACATAATTTTGACGCACGCCACGCGCCACACCCTCCACCGCCATGACTTTTTTCGGCTCGTGACATTGTAGCGTTCCTAAAAAATAATGATTTTAATTTTTTTAAATTTTATTTTAAATATTCATAATAAAAAATAGAAACTTACCATTTTTTACCGCACCACGATAGTAATTCAGCAGGCCGGCGATATAGCCTCCCGTATCCTCTTCTTTGTTGTCGTTAAACACACGCCTCATCTCGATTATTTCGCCAGCAATAATCAAAAGCTGGAGGTAAATCGAGAAATGCCCCAAACGGAATAAAACCGCGAGCACCGCGCTAGGGCACGCACCCGCAAACTTTGCGAATACAACATAATTATTATCGTCGTTGTCGAATAACGACGATAAATAATTATCGATGTAGAGCCCGTTTAAACTACGCGTCAATCGCAAACACGATTCGATAATTTCCCGCAAACTAGACATTTTTAATTCAACGTGGCTTCGATACGCAGTAAAATCACACGAAGACGGAAATACAGATCGCTATGATCCCGAATGCGTGAGAAAATGTGAAACTGTGTGATTTTTCAGCGTCTTCCCGTTTTATACCAGTTTTCCCCCCACCTTGAGAAAATTTAGGAAAAAAACATCGTTTTCAAATATTTTTATTACACTTCCTTTGAAACTGGACAACGGTCCAGGTCCTTTCGTCATACAACGTTTCGGTCGTACTTTTCACGATAATCCTATTATTCAACGAACGATACTTCAAGATAGGAGAGCAAGGTGCTTCGGAAAAAATAAAATATCAAGTTGATTGATTCAGGGTAAGAATAATCCTATAGTCCTATAATCCTATTGAACACGTAGTAAAAATTCCGACGATTAACTTGTTAAAAAATACTACGCGACGGGTAGAAATTCTATTGATTAAATAAGAATAATTCTCTATATATCAATACGTAGTAAAAACCACAATAGGGTAGCAAAAATTTTTCCGTTGTAAGATCATGAAAAATTATTTCGTAACATGTTGCGACACGAAAATTTATTCCATAACATGTTGCGACACGAAAATCAAAACTTTCTTTATCTAGTAGAATTTTTGTGGGAATTCGGAAAAGTAATATTTGTTAATGCGTCGCCTTTGCGACTAATCATAGTGCTTAAAAGTTTATATGTGTTCAAATTTCCCCCACCATTTTCCGATTTTCTGTTACGTGGAAGATTGTAACATTTTTCTCATTCCTCTCCTAGCATTCAAACCTACAAGTTCAACAGCGAACAAGTTTCAGTTTTCGTATTTTCGTTTCGCGTCTGCGTATAAAAATCAGTATCATGGATAAACGCCAGGAAATTGTGAAATCCGAAAAGCCGACAAAGTGCAGCGACAGTTCCGAAGCAAGATGCGACATCTCCGAAAAAATTGTGCAGAATTGCATACTATTATCTACAACATATGGATTGAATTTTTCCTATAAGAAGAAAATTCATGTTGGACTGCAAACTTCAATCAACGACGACGAGTTTGATTTTCAACCTTTCGTTAAATTTTCATCCAAAGGAGCCGATGTTATTTGCTTCAACATGGCGGAATGGCAAAAATTTCAAGAAAATATGAAGCAAATGTCGGATTACTTAAATGGAAATAGTATTACGGCAAACTCGATTATTATCAACAAGATAATTATAAATTTCACCACTGCTTATGGAGCAAGAGCTTTGTTATTGACATATTGAGAAAACGGACAAGAAGTTCAACCTTTGGAAAATACCACGACTAAAGAAGAAATTCATGCTCCGAAGAAACGCCGGACTTATTCGCTTGCTATAACAATGCAGAGAGCTAGTTTTCTGGGACTAGAAAATATACTCGAATGTGTAAACGCTAATTTGAATCGACTGAATATAATCACCACTAGTGCCAATGATTGCGCTAAATATCTTATTAATAAAATACAAATAAGACTACCTATCGTGGGCTATATCGAAAACGATATTATAAAACTCGCGTTCAAATCTAATTGTCACGAAATACAAACTAATGTACGTACGCAACTAAAAGATTTAACATTTCTCGACGATCAATTTGAAATTGTATTTTAGAATTAATCGCTCTTTACTTCGATCAAATTGTACATATAATTAGATTTCAACGAAAATTGTAATTCATACATTAATGTATACTTTTATCATTTATAATTAAATTTGATTCTATTGAAAATCATAAAATGTATAAACTTTATTTTGTCAGTTCAATTATGTATTCTTAAGAAAAATTCCAAATAAACGATTTTGTATTCCATTTCTCGTGTTTGTTTCCTTCCTCTTTTCGCATGTTCCTGCACTCGACAATCCTTACAGCGCGCTCAATCCGCGGGGTGGCTCATTCCGTTCACGAGATATCGCT